CGAGTAACTCTACAGTTCACAAGTCCAGGAAACATATTTTTACTAGTTTAGAGCATACTAAGAATTTTGATAGCCAAGAGAAAGTTTAAAGTGGGAATAACTATCATGAAAGGCTCATCCTCTTCCTTGCAGCACTGTGCTAGACATCTAACAGGATTACATGGAGGGACCTTCATGGGATGGATTTGAAAATGTTGTGAACGGAAGACTAGAAAAACAAAACCAAGAAAATGCAGCAGAGCCAATACCTTTCAGACGAAGGGGAAAATGGCAGGAAAAAATTGTAGGATGACAGACATAAAGGTGTGCCCCTCTGGTTTTTGCACAGGGCAAAGGGCATTAATAAGGAAATTCAATACAAGTTTTTCAACATTATTTTTTAAAGTTCTTCTCTGCCAGAATCTTTTGCCTTTGATAGGTGGTATTAAGAAGAATTGGAAATGTGCCATGTTAGCCAGGCACTTGTATTTTGTGTGGTGTTGGCAAAATCCTCACCTTTCTTTCCAACCCTGCTCCAGAGCCCAGGACAGTTATCTGAAAATAGCAGTTGTGTAACCCCATCTGCCCACTGAAGGATGGTTGAGGAATAATGATATGACACATTTGTGAAGGTCTTGAGTTTCTTAAGAGAACAGGCAAATGACAATATAAAATGTCATTCAACATGTTATTGGAAGCAAGATTTATTCCCCACATCCCAACTCTGTCCCATAACTGGAGAATTGTTCAAAAGCTTAAAATTCTAAGCTATCTTTTTTGTGTGTATAAGAAGCAAGGAGCATTTAAAAGCATTAGGACTTAGGTAACAGTGAAAGTAATTCCCAAAGCACAAACAGTAACCATAGTTCTTGATATATTTCTTTTGCTGAGAACATTTACCAAACACTACATCATGGACACAAAGATGGCAAATTCCCATTGATAGTCCTTTTCCCATCTCTTGGAGTTTGGGACAATCAGGAACGGATTATGAAAGGAACAGGGCTCAATTATAGATTAACACAGTGCTGTAATATTCAAGGTTATTAGGGGGAGAGGGTCTGGAGAGGAAGAGTATGGCTTGGGCTTCTGTGATCTTAAACAAGCTACTTAACCTCTTTAAGCCTCCATTTCCTTATTTGTAAGGTAGGAATAATCATGCGTATTCAGCAAGAAGCCTCAACGACTGTGCTGTGAGTATAGCATTAGAAAGTTAATAAATGTTCCCTACTAGTATTAGTATTTAATGTATTAGTTAATATTACTGTAGTAACCAAATCTATCTACTATGTGGAAGTCATTATACTTGGTGTACTTAAAATGGTTTCATTAACATAAAAATTATTTTTATACATGAAGATATTCAAAGGTATTTGGGAAAGCTTAAATGATATCAAAATATTATCCTAACAATTTTGGTTTGCCTTTAAAAAAACCTTTCAAACATTTTCACATGTCTGAAAAGAATTTGAAAAGAATGATCTGTGTTAGCACCATGTCTAACAAGAATCATTACAGGTGTTGAATTTCCAGGATGTTAGTTGAGCTTTGGGCACTTTTATGAGCGATGTATCTGGTGAAATGCTCAGAATGTCCCCTTATGGACTGCAAGTCATTTGCCCTTTGCTAGATGAGGAGAGGAAACCTGGACCCTGCAAGACAGTCATCGGAAGCTCACTATCTCCATTTCTAATGCAGGAGTCTTTGTACCCCCTGTTGCTTCCCTGAGCCCTGTCAAACATGCAAGTTTCAAACAACTGGAAAATACTTTGTAACTATATAATGGAAGCTATGTGCTTTCAAGGGGTTCAGGATGCTGCTCACACCTGTAGGAGGAATGGCCTATGCAGATGCCTCACTCCATTGTCTGATGGACTTGTGTTTTATACACAGACATCTACTACAGGTGTTCTTGGTGGCTATTCTTGAAGCACAAGCCATTCTGTAGTTTAGCAAGTCATTTGGGGCTTACTGTCACCTAGCTGAGGAGTAGGAAATAAACCGTAGTCCCTCCCCTGGCCCTCCCCCAAGGAAAGCATGGGATAGGATTCTGTTCTTGCTAGGACTCAGCCAGAAAGTCTTGCTAATTTTAGAGGATTGACTAGTTCTGAATGTTGATTCACTCATGGGCAGGAATCCATTTTAACTTCCTGGGGGCAGTGATGGGCAATGCCAGTTCTAGGAGCCCACCTCCTCTCCCTCCAATTATTCTGTCACCTCTTTTAGAAGAGGGGAGTATTGGTGGCATTGCACCACCCTGTTGTCCTTACCCTATTTCTCAGGATATTCAGAGTGGGAACTGCAGGGAAGGATGGGGGAAGGGGATCAGAAGAAGCTAACACTGTGTTAAACCTTTAATTAGAATCTTCATGCTTAAAGTAATATTGTGAAGTGCATTTTATGGTACAGCACAGAACTGTCTCAAGCAGGTTAATGATCGCAGTTAAGAAACTTACCATTAATACTGCAGGTAAGTCATAGACTTACGACTTAATGCTTCTCTCTGACACAAAGCACACCTTCACTCTAATATTCTAATGTTTCCCAGCCTTGCTGATTCTTGCTGTCACTGAGGCACTTAATCCTGTTTCCTACACCCTGACAGAACTGGACTGGCTGGGGATCACTTTGCTGACAGGTTCTCTGGTAGCCACACCCATCTTATTCTGTTGCGATAAACAAGAAAAGATCGATCCTAAAGTAATAAATTACCAATACTGAAAAACACACACCCCACAACAATCTAAGGAAAATTTAGTGTGGTTTAATGGAAAAATTTCTGCACCTATGGTTAGATTCAGAAATAAGGCAACCGTCTTACAATATGTGGTCAATAGTCAGTCAGTAGTAGACAGGCTACATTGACCCCCAATGTGTTATCTCCCTAATGTCCCCATGCTCAGTTCCTATTGGGAGTGTATCTTTCCTTTATCTTATCTCCAGAAGTAAATTACTTTTCTTTTTAGATAGGGTCTCACCATGTATCCCAAGCTGGTCTTGACTACCAACCCTCCTGCTTTAGTTTCCCAAGTGCTAGGATGCCAGGTCTGTGCCAGCAGGCTAAAACTATTTAAGCCTCACTTCACAAAGCACTTTATCAAGTTTTCTCTTCTTCCCTACTGTGGTTTGCAACTGATCATAGAGCATATTGCCCTTGATTTTAGCTGCACTCTAATTTCTTGTGCACTCTAGAAGCATACCTATCTCCCCTCCTGGAGGTCTGGCAACCAGATGGCTTCATTTCTTTATCTTTCAGCCTGCTGGTTAAGGCCTACTGCATGGTAAGAATGCAGCAGATAAAACTCTCACTAGCCCCATAGAGCACCTGTGCAGGCACTGTTCTAAGCACTACAACAAATAACTTATATTGGAAACACTCCTGTTTTATAGATGAAACAAACAAGAAACTGAAACATAGAGATTACTGTTTATAGAAGTCTCCTTTAGGACGTCAGTCCCTTTAGGCAATCACACCACACCTGTAGAGATCTGAATACGGAGGATTTGGGAAACAGCCTTTTTATGAAGTATGGCTTTCTAGTTTAGTGCATCAGAATTGCTTGGACATCTGGCTTAAATACGAATTTCCAAGTCCTACTTCTAGAGTTCCTGATGCTGGAAGTCTGAAGTAGGACCTGATGATAACATTTCTAGCATCTTTTCAGGGAATACTGGTGTTCCTGGTCTGGGGACCACACTGAGAACTGCTGCCCTAGGTCAATGTCTCTGAGGTTGTAGAGGTCAAGAGCAAGGAATTAGTCCTATAGTCTCAGCCTCCTACAAATGAAGTAAGAGACAGGAGGAAAAGCCATTAGAAGCCAGGAAAGTATGACCTATTTCAAAGGTGTGGTTATAGGCCCCTTTACCAGTGAAGACACAGACAGATAGCCAACATGCCAAAGGGAGGGAAATCCTGTCTGGGAAAGTTATCAAGTATTTTGACTTGGGCTGATGTGTGTTACTTGGAATGAACCCTTTGGCTCCAATATTTAACAACAAGTGTTCAGTGTGACTTCATGAAAAATGGGTGAAAAATGAGATAACTGTGTTTCTTAAGAAGATAGCCAAGCAAAAGGCCCACTGACTCATGCCCTCACACAATATTTGCAGAGGGATCATAAGGATAAATACAACAATGCAATAGCCTAGAATAACAATGAATCTTATTAGCTTCAAAATTTCTTTTTTTTCTCCTTTAGTACAGCCACTAAATTGAGTGAGGATATAGAGTTGCTTAAAGTTCAAGAATAAAAGTCAAGAGCATTGAGCTCTTATCCAAGCTTTCCAGAAAAATCCATGGCTCAGGGATTTAGTTTCTTAGTTTTCAAAATGATGTAAATGGTCCCATTGTCTTGATAGGGACATCTGTGGGGTCATCTGAAACCCAGCCTTGTTGAATGATTGAATATTTGAGATACATTCATTACAGATAAAAATAAATTCCTTTGAGTTGTTCAGAAAAAATTCAATATACATTTCAAACATTTTCTAAACCACTCAAAAGGCATGCTGCAAGTTCAAGATCACATTATTCCAACTTCTCATCTGTCATACATAATACTCTGGTCTTCTTGAAGTCATAGGCCAGTCCCTTGGGTGATTACTAGAGAATCACTCCCCACAGCTACCTTTCACTTTCCCTGATCATTCTGGGCCCAATTCCCCCCCCCCCCCACCTTTGCTTCCAGCCCTAGTACACAGAAGCAAGCTCAACTTCAGTACCAGCCAACAAGTCAGCTACATGCACCATCCCATGGGTGGGGGCTACTTCTCTCATTCACCTCCCCTCCCCTCCTTGGACTCATAGACCTGGATTCCAGCTGTCCTCCCCTGATGGTTTGAGATGCAGAACTTGAAGCTTCACCTGCTCCTGTGGATCTGCCTTGCTGGCTTCAGATAACAGAAGCTACTCACCCACAGGGCTCCCCAAAAATTCACAAAGAAAGAATGACAGCTGGATAAGGCAGGAACAGCCAGGGGATGAATAGAGGAGAACACAGCATGCAGGATAAGCCACATACCTGGGGAAAAGTTGCAGGCGGGTCTCTCCTCCTCTGAGGGCTTTTTGCCCTGCAGGCATCTGCCCCCATTGAGGAGTGTAGAACACGGGTTGTTATTTATTTATTTCCAGAGCTGGCAGGGTTGGCTTGCATTTCTATGCCTTCCTGTCAGAATCCTCTCAAGGAAACAGCAGCTGGCGAGCTCAGAAATGTCAGTCAGAATCTTGGCCTAGTTTGGGGCCTTGAAGATTCTTACGGAAAGTTAAAAAGGTTTCTGGGCCACTGTCTCCTTTGGGTTTTCCCTCTCCTGCTTCTCACCTTTTCCATCTTCTACTATTTTTTTCCTTTTCATTTTTTATTTTTTACCCCAGTAGCTAGCTATTTAAATTGCCTGCTTCTCTTTCTGATGGGCCCCTCTTGGGGAAGGCTGTGGCTCTTCTGGCTCAGCCTAGCTGACTGGTGATTTTCTGAGCATTTAGATCACTGCCTGCACTTATTTTTTGTGTGTCCTTACTTATTCCGTTTTCCCTTCTCCTCCATTGCCTTTCACTGTCACTTCTTTAATCCCCGTCCTTCCAGTCACACTCAGAGAAGCCTCCTTTCCTTTATTCACATGCTCTCGCCTCACCACGTAGTCTGTCATTTCCCTCCTTTGCCCTGTGCCTATTTCTCTTTCATTCTTTATTTTCTGTTATTTATTCTAGCTTTCCCCCTGCCTCTGAGTTGCACTCTGTCCACATGTGTTCTGGGCTCAAGTCTCTCCTCTCCTCTTCTCTCTCTCTCTTCTCCTTTCTCCCTCTCCCTCTCTTTTTTCCTCTCTCCCTTCTGCTCGCTCTTCTCTGATCTCTCCTCTTTCTCATCTCTCATTCTCTTTCCTCTCTCTCCTTTCCTCTTCGACATTGCCTCTCTCCTTTCTCCTATCTCTCTTCCCTCCTCTCTTCTCTCTCCTCTCTCCTCAGCCAGTCTCCCACCCTGCTTCACCTAGTCTCTGTTCTTTGCAGGCAAGCCTCTTCCTTTTTGTACTCTCCAGCCCTCTACCCACCCCCAGGGCACTCTTCCACCTGTTGGTGTCTTTTAAAGGCCTTGATCATGTCCATGCCTTCTGTCCACCTCAATCACTCCAGTGACGGGCATCCGAAAGCTGTTAAATTATACCTCTTCAGCTGTCTCATTGCAAAGGGAAACATCCTTTGCCAAACCCTTTTTTCAGATAGGCAAGTTTGAATTAATGGTTCTATTTATAGACTGTATTAAAATGATACATGAATTGTTTTTTTTTTAAATTATTTAATAACCACATGATTAGAAGCATTTCATTACAGCATTAACATATTCAATAACAATTTCCAGAGCAAAGATGCTTCTCTTTCAAAATTAGCTGTAAAATTTGAGGTTCACAGTTAAATTAATACAGTTATACAGTATTGAACTCAGTATAACCCTTATAAGACATAAAATTGAATGAGGTTTTAACTTTTTTTTTATTACAACATAGAATAAGTAGATTTAATGAATGTTTAAAAACCTCATTCAATTTTATGTCTTATAAGGGTTATACTGAGTTCAATATTGTATAACTGTATTAATTTAACTGTGAACCTCAAAATTTACAGCTAATTTTGAAAGAGAAGCATCTTTGCTCTGGAAATTGTTATTGAATATGTTAATGCT